AGAGAAGTGTACCTTGAGTAAAACTATCTTGGAGGAAGGACATTTGGAGGAGTTATTGGAAGGAAGGCTGGATCTTGACTGCCAGGTTACAGATGTGGGCAGTGGGAAGCCACTGAAGGTACTTGAGCCGGGGAGTGATGTGTGCTCATTGGGGCTTTAGAAACAACTGGTGTGTTTAGGCTGATTTGGACAAGTAAGCACCTAGAGGCACGAAGATTGGTTAGGAATTTCCTGCAGTTTATCTGGGGATGTGGTGTGGGCTGACAAGGACCTGCACGCTAAGTAGTTTGACAGTCTCGGGATAGGAGAAAATGTGATTTGGTGAAAACACAGGACTCAGAGTTAAATGCATGTCTCAGTTATGTGCTTCTTTGGCTTCTCTGAATCACATTTCCTTTGTAAAGAGGAGCAGTAATAGTTGAGCTCACAGGTGGTAATGAGGATTTGGTGAGCAATGCACAGGCAAGATAAGCTGTTTCTCTAATGAAAGAACACCAAACCATCTTGGCTTTCTCCCCCAGCAATTCTCAGAACTGACTACTGGATTTTCCCCTCAAACTCTGTGTCCCATCTGGGAGACCCAGTTCTGCCCCAACCACTCAGTACCCCAGCTCAGGGAACCCACATTCAATGGTGTTTTCTCTCCTCTCAGAGATCAAAAGATGCTGCTTCCAGAAAAACAAACTCCAGAAGTCCTATACCTGGCTGAAGCTGGAACCAAAGATGAGAATAATCCGAACATCCTAAGAGAGACGTTGCTCTCAGAAAAGCCAAATTTGGCCCAGGTGGAAATTGAGTTAAAAGAGAGGGACGTGGCACTGGTTCTCCTTCCAGACCCACAAGAATCTGAGAGCTAGTGAGAGTGCTGAGCAATGCCCCCATGTTGTTAGCAAATAAAATGAAAAAACTGCCATGAAACTAAAATTGTTATTTAAAAAATCCCACCTGTTTATTAAAATGCTTCTGGATATGAGCAGTTGGAATTGCATAGTTTGTTCAAATGGCGGTGGTCCATACAGTGACTTGGGGCAAAAATGCAAAATCCATAGCCAGCCTGTGGGTCAGGAAGCCTGGCCAGGACTCCTCAGGTGGTGTGGAGGAGATCACAGCCTCCCTCTTACCTCAGCTTCTCCATCTACAGAATGGGGCTGAAGGCTGGGTTAGAGCTCCTGTTTTCAATCCAAGCTCCTGGAACTGCTGCAGGAGTCGGAGCAGAATTCTGGGCTCAATCCCCTTCCTGCTTCTTCTTCCCACTGGAGTCCTTTCCTTTATCTGCATATCTGCTGAGGGTCCATGAAAGACTTCCTTTGGGCCAGGGGCCCTGTGGTAAATAGAGTTAGAAAATGTGGCTTTCCCTTCCTCTGAGATCCTTCACTTGCTAACCATGGGATCCCAAGGGAGTGTCCTGATCTGTTCCTGTGCCACAGCATTGTGTTATACAGCTGTGGTGTTGATCCCAAATAATTTATGCAAAAATTTGCTTTTGAACCAGAAATGCTTTCAGTTCTCTCTTATGAAAGAAGACTTTGAACACTCAGACCCATTTCCAAGGGTACTGGGTCCTGTTGGACTACAAACTGGTATACTGTGTTTCTACCTATGCGCCCGGGGCATGCTGATAACGCACACTGTATGTCTGATACTGCCAGTTGTGGGCTCGCTCAAGTCCTGGGTCATTGTCACTAGAATGACTTTGTTCTGCAGCTTTGAATCATTACCCTTGAGGAGGCTGGTCCTGAGGATCTATGGACAGAGTCCTTAATTTAAGGTGAGAAAATAAGGGGTTCCTGCCTTCTGGTGAAAACTCTAGAAGTCCCCTATACTGGATAATCCACAGTCCCTTCCTTCTATTCTCATTGAAAGGAAAAGTACTGGAGATAGACCTTCCTGTGGCTTTGCTTCTTACAGCCTGTCCCATAGGATTATTTAAAGTAGCTATTACTAGGATAAAAAGTGGGGTTTGTTGCCTGGGGCTGCTGTGAGGTCAGAAGACAATAGGAGGGCCAGGCCCCAGCCCTCCAAAACCTACAGCTGCCCTGCCCTTGCAGTCCACCAGGTGGCGCAAGGACTTCAGAGCTGTCCCTCCTGTAGGATGTTCTCAGGCCTACGCTTATACAGGGTTTCCCAAAACTGTCCACCCAGAGCTGCCACTAGGGGCCATATCTGGCTTGGCTATAGCCAGAGCAGGAAGGGTTGGTATCATGATGGACACTGCAATTTCTTCCTGCTTCAGGCTGATCCCAGGGGTCTGGGTTGTCCAGGTGGCTTTCCCTTGAGGTCAGAGAATGCAGTGGTTAGCATGGAAACCAAGGCCCTTGAGGGACTAGGAGCAGCATTACTGCCTGTCCCTCCAACTCACACAGTGAACTGGGTGTTACTGCTTGGTGCTGGAGCGGGGGTCAGCTGTTCTGTTCACCAGAGGGTGCAGGCTATTGTTCCATCAGACATCCTGCAGCCCTGCCCAGCCTCCGAGCCTGGGATCCTCAGGGGGGCCTTCAGAAGATCTTGAAGCCTTTCAGTAGGGTCAGGGTCGGTGCCTTGCGCTTGCTTTGGGCCCGGGATGACTTCACAGTGACCAGTTTGGCCTGGGCTACGGTGGGCATCTCCTTCAGGCTGACGGTAGAAAGCGTGTTGAAAGTGCAGCTGGCCAGCCCATGACGGGCGGTGAGTGCAGCCTGGTGGGGCAGGGCTTTCTCTTCGGAAATGAAGAGGGGCCGGGCCAGGGAGTTCTTCTCCAGCTCCCGCCGTGCCTCCCGCACTGCTTCATGGAAGACGTGCTGCACGTGTTCAAAGTCCAGGCAGGCAGAGACTTCAAAAAATAGGCACCCAAACCTGCCCGCCAAGGCCGCACCCTCTGCCTCTGTGACCTGCCTGGTGGGGAAGAGGGTTGAGGCAGCGTCAGGAGCATGCATCCCAGTCGGGAAGGCCTGGGCCTACGCCCGGCTCCTCACTTACAAGCTTGGTGACCCAGGTCATCTTCATCTCTCCAAGGCTCAGTTTTCTCATTAGTAACACAGGATAATGACATCTGCCTCTCAGGGTTGTTAGGATTAAGAAAGACAATTTGTATTGAGTGCCTAGCATAGTACCTGGCACAAAGTCAGTGCTTAATAAATAGTGGCTGATGTCACCAAAGCCAGAATTTAGGAACGAGGTTGAGAGTAAGGGAGAAGTTGGCCCAAAGTCCCTGCCTAGACCCTGCCCATGGCTGGCGGAAGATGGCCATTCCCAGCTCTATTTCTCCTCTACCCTCACATGGGCCCTTGGTCAGGAAATGAGCCCTGGCTTGTGGGACCAGCTCTAGAGAAAGGCAGTGGTTTGGGGTGAAAGATGTGAGACCACAGAGGCATGGAAGACCGAGGTCACTCAGGACGCCTGTGGTTGGCAGAGATCTCAGGGCTTGTGGGGAGTTTTGTTTGCCAGCCGAGGGGAGGGGCAGGAGAGAGCAAATGTGACAACATTTCATAGGGAGGAGGGGGAAAAGGAGAGAGGGAGCAGCACCTATTCCCAGCTTGATTCCCTACCACCTCCGGAGATGGTGGGATCGAATATTTGTAACCAGGAGGGTTCTGGAAGCTTCTGACCTGGAAGCTATGGGAATCAGGTGAGAAGAAAAAGAAAACTGGTTCTTGGGTAGGTCTGATGGAGGGATAGGAGTCCCTAAGGTCTTAAGGCCAAGGTTCCAGGGGCTGAATCCTTCTGGCCACCCCTCTTCCCCCAACCCCTCGGTCACTGAGCCACCCTACCCATCACTCCTGAGGATAATGGCACAGCTCATGAGATGAGAAGAGACACTAGGGTGGGTGCCAGAGGAAAAGGTTTCTGAGCCAAAGTTAGTTTGGCAGGAGCAGGGGGCTGGGAGAGGGCTAGCTGCCCAGAGGGTACCAGACCGAGAGCATGACTGGGACAAAAAGGGTCGGGGGCCGAGCACCTAATCCCCTCCCCACTCAGGGCTGGTGTCCTGGCTGCACGGTCACTGCTTCCTGAGGAACACCTTTTCAAAGGATATTTAGTATTACGTACTTTTATGATAAATTTGAATCTGAAACTTTGTCATCATGGGGTTTGAATAATGAACTTTCAGAAACAAGGACCCCATAAGTGCATGAATGTGTGAATAGGAGACATAGACATGTAACATTATCCTATTCTTTTCTCGCAGCCTGGTGAAAATTTTATCAGTGGTTTGGGAACCACTGGTCTAAACTGCATTTTACCCTTTAGCTGCAAGACAATTATGGGAGACACTGATCAATGCTCGGCTAAAAGTTAGATTTACTGTGCCCATCAAATCCTGATCCACTAACCTCAGGAACTGATCAAAGAAGGAAATGGGGATAAATTGTCATGACTTGTTCTTAGGGAACTGATGCTGCTTCATTTGAGCCCAGATTCTTTGTTATTTGCTCCTAAACTATTTTTAGATAATCCCTTTGGCAAAGATTGGGATCAAAAGAGTGGTCTAGTTTTTTCCGCCATATTGAAAATTAGTGTATCACAATCCATTCTTCTAATCCCTTTTCTAGGCTCTGGTGGCTCTGTGATTCCTTTTGGCTTTAAGATCACACAACTTCCCTCATTTCCGGGGATGAAATTTATCGGGGTCTGAAGCTTTGCCCGCCTTTGAAGGCCTGTAATGTGGTCTCCTTTCATGAGATTGTACCCTCCTTTCCCCACTGCCCATCTGATCTGTTCTCAACAAAGGGTCCCCTCCTTTCTACCACCAGTCAATGTGCCTTTGGGGCCTGGGAAAGCAGAAGTGACCAGCCATGAACAGGGAGGGACAGGTAGAAGGCTGATAGAAGGTACCATACCTCACAGGTGGACTGGCCACATAGGACGAATGTCAGTGTTGGAGAAGGCCAGTGGGATTACTTATCAAGTGGAGGCATCACAGTCTCAAATGCCTCCAGGGCCAGCCAGGCAACTCGAATGTGTGGAGAGGGTAGAGGTAAGCCATGGGGAGTGGTAAGGCCTGTGGTCAGCTAGAGAGAGCATATTCTGCCCCCAAAACATTCCAATTCCAGGTTTTCTAAAATACTGTGCTGGCCAAACAAAATATGGCTGCAGTACTCAGTGGTAATTTGCCCTCTGGCCCAGTTTGTGACCCCTGATTCAAGTCCAACCCTTTCTAAGAGAATCTGTCCTGAGCACCGCCAGCTGTGGAAGAGAGCCTGGGGGCCATTCTGGGTGAGGCAAGAGACGGTTGCCAAACCAGAGCAGACATTTGACCCAAGAAACCAATCAGAGCCTCTCTCCCTAGAATTGGAATTGGGCACAGAATGACCAGCTAGCTGCAGCAAGTGGGAACAGAAGGTCATAGAGACTCAGGCAAAAATGGGTGAGGCGGACAGAGACCACAGAGCCCCATGAGGATGGAAGGAGTGGCCTCTGTTCTGACTTTCAGGGTCTAGCCCCTATGCTGCCCATATGCCCTTCCATTCCTGTCCTTGGCTGCCCGAAAGACCGCACCTACCTACTCTTACAACACATCTTCTTTTACCTAATTTGAAAGATTATTGTTCTTAGCAGCCAAATAATTCCTGAAGATGATACTCGGCTTTCACAAATGAGGAAAGTGAGCTCTGGAGGTATGGGACAAACCGCCACGCTCACCTGTACTGGGCCATGTCTAGCTTATTGCCCAGCAGCAGAGCAGGGTAGTTGCGCTGTGTCTCCTTCGCGTGCAAAGCAAGCAGCTCCAGGTAGCTGCTGCTGCCCTCGAAGCTCTGGCGGCTGTCGACGCTGTACACTACTAGGAAGGCGTGGGCCCAGTTCAGGTAGCGCTCACAGTTCCTGGGAGTGTCCTGGGGCAAAGGAGGGAAGCCCTGGTCAGGGTCAGAGGAAGAGGGATAAAGGCCTTCACCTGAGATACCCCACCCCACCTCTCCACTCCCCAGGACTTTGTATATTGTTCCCCAGCAGAGCCTTTGTCAAAGGGGCGCTTGAGTGTGGATTTGGCTTGGTGTGAAAGGAGACATTGTTTTGTAAGCCTCCCTCCCACCACCCCACCAGAGACTTGGAGACCTTGGCCTCTGGGGCACAAAGCCAAGACTCTGGCCTGGCCCCTAGAGAGACCTAGCTATCTCTGGTCACTGCTGGTTTTAGGTCAGGTTCATGATGCCCCTTTGGTTTCTGAGAATAACTGGCATCCCAGCCTTGGCAGGGGATAGTAACGACACAGGGGAGATGTGTGCATTGGGGGGAACTTAGGCCGAGGGGAGTATAAATGTGTGTGCACCTGTCTCCATGTGTGCACAAGCGTCAAGCTCCAGAGCACAGGGTCTCAGAGCTGATGCCCGTGATCATCTGGTTTACCCAGGCCCCATCCCATTCCTCTCATTTGATAAATGAAGAGATTCGGTTTCAGAGAGGTCAGATCCTCATGCAGGGTCACACAGCAAATTGGAGCTTAAAAGGGGCCAGAACTTCTCAGGATGCTGCACTGACTCTCAGCTCTAACGGGGATAATGTTACCAGGTCCGCAGTGTCCATGACCCTCAGGTGGACAGGTTGGTGGTCCACAGTCTCCTCAGAGCTGTAGGTGTCCTCTGTAACAGAGACAGCCAGGTTAAAAGCAGGGTGTGCCACTCAACTGATGAAGAGCTGGGTCTGAGTCCCAGCTTCCCTCTGTGCTGGACTCCTGTGCAGCCCTGAGGGATCTGCTCCAAGGCTCACTGAGCTAGGACTACTACAAAGTCTTGGCTCTCGTCCAAAGGAGGACATGGGCAGAACCTCCCACCAAGGAGATGCTGCTCTACCTCTCAGGGCTCAGAGCAACAGAGGCCGCTCACAGAACACACCATGGGAGATGGCACTGTGTTCTGGGTCCACCTACCAAGCTAGCAAGATGGAGTGAGTAGCCCACAATCAAATAGCAGCAGAGGCCTCAGGAGTGACACTGCCAGCTTCTCCCTCCCAAACAAAGCTTCTCTACCCTCTCCCCCTCCAACCACAGTACCTGGCCCACAGGAGGCCCCCAAGAACAATCCTCCTGCCCCCAGTGGAAGAAGGGATGGGAAAAGAGAAGTGCATGACATGATGGGTTGGGGGGTCAGACCCCCTTTAGAAGTCTCAAGAAGGTTTTACAAATAATCCTTGTCAAAATAATAGCAGAGGAATTTAGTACCTGGTAAAGGACAGTGGAGACCGTGGTACTCCAAAGTTTATAGAGCGGGTTCATATTCTCAGGTGTTTGTGTTTTTTTTCCTTTTATTTTGAAATAATGCTAGACGCATGTAGAAGTTATAAAATAGTACAGAGTTTCTGTGTACCATCCCACCAGCTCCTCCCAGTGCTAACACCTTGCGTAACCATAGTACAATGATCAAAACCAGGAAATAGATATTGATAGCATATTATAAACTAAACTACTGACCTTATTTGGATGAGTTTTTCCTTTTTTTAGTTTTTATGATCTCAAACCCAAGAAAGCAGCGATTGGCCAGGCATGCAAAGAGGACCTCGCTGCCATATTGGCAATCACTCTCCCTATCCCCTTCCCCTGTGCCACTTGCCCACGTGTGTGAGTGCACTTGGCCCTCACCTTTCCCTGGGTGTCCCCGTCTCCCAAGTGACCCCAAAGACCCCTCTGGGCAGAAATGGGGCCTTCTCTGCCTTCTTGGCAGCAGTCACTGTGAGAAGAAAACCCCCCAACTCTGGCTGAGTCAAAACACTTCTTGAGGGCCACTGGCAGCCAAACCAGGCCTGGACACATGCCAGGTCCACTGGCAGCCAGCAGCAATCACAGACAGCTCCCGTCCTCAGCCTGCTTTGGGGACTTGGATAAATGCCGCTCTTATTCAAAGACAAAAAAAAAAAAAAAAAAAAAAAAAAAAATCTAATGGAAAATATGTCCCAAATGTTTAACTATATTTGGTGCAAGAAGAGCTGTCCCCAGATGTCCACATCTTGTTCAGATTTTTCTTTAGTTTCCTGCTCAAGTTGTCTGATGCACCCCTTTTAGGCACTCCACAGCTCCTGACCCCAAACAGGCACTATGTCGTGCCCAGTCCAAGGAAAAATATTAGCCCAATCCTGATCTCCTGTAGTCCCTTTAGCACAATAGCCTTTTGAGGTTGCTATTAGCTTGACTGTAGAGAGATGACAGGGAGGCGAGGCCCAGAGAGGCAGGAGCTCGCCCGTGGCCACACACCACTAGTAGAAGGAATCTGAACTCAGGTCTTCTAGGCTAGGTTGCCTCCCCCTTGGGATCTCCTTATTCCCTTTGCTCGGTGGACCAGTAGATCGTCCAGCTCTGTCTGGACAGAGTACAGGGAAGAGCAGAAGCTTCCAGTTCAGTTGAGGATGTGTAAAATGCATGGGTGAGCTAGAAGAAGCTCAAAGATCTTCTTATCCAGTTTGCTCCTCCTTTGCAAGTGAGGTGACTCTTGGGAGTGGGGGCTCTTTTCCAAGTCAAGGTAATGTCCTTTCTTCCTATCACCTAGTCCCTACCCTCAGGTCATTCTGGTGTCTTTAAATATATGGGCCTCATAACTGCTAGTTCTAAGTAATACTCTGTGGATTTTAACGCTGAGAGAAGATTCTTTTCCCAAAGCATTTTTCTCTCATTGATAATAATAATTTTTTAAAAGGCACCAAAGGATGTCAGGTCAGAGTGTGTCTAGGATGATGCCTCAGAAATGGTGCTTGTGTCCTTGCTGGAGTAGGATGAGGGCAAGAGAGAAGTCATCATTGTGTCCTGGGCACGCCAGGTGAGATGACCCCAGCACTTCAAGAGAACGCTCTTCTGGAGCCCCCACCCCCTCCCATAGTGCTCAGCACAGGCAAAACCCTTTCATAGACACCGAATCTCTCAGCTTCTACCAGCTCTAACAGTCATGACCCATAAAAAGGCACAACTAATGGAGCAGTCTATTAGTCACGTCTTGCAGATGGGGAAACCAAAGCTCAGAGAGCCAAAAGCTATGCAGACCTGTGACTCCAGGCTCTCCATTGAATAAGGCCTCCCTTCGTGGAGAGCGACTGGAGTGGTGTCTCCTCTTTCTTTGTACCTGAGCTTCTCCATGATCGTAGGCAAATCACTGAGCCCCCCTACCTCAGTTTCTCTACCTATAAAACGTGGGTAATAATAGGAGCTGTTCTTTAAAGGGTAATCCTAAAATCAAAATTCAACCTCATGTTTACACACATCTATGTTGTTCCTCGTACTGTGTACCATGCTGAAAATGGGAACAAATTACACAGTTTCCCATCCTCAAGAGAGTCCCTTTGAGCTCATGCTCTTGGAAGATGTTTGAAAAGGGGATAGAGTGGTTTTCCATCTCCTGATGGCTAACTCTGCCCTTGGATGCTCAGACCTTTCTCCACAGAAGGAAAGGCTCTGGTTCCAGTGTCTCTGCTGTTGCTGGAACCAGTGGCTGGAATGTTTAGACAGTGGAACAGAACCCCCGAGGAGTGGCAGTGGCCTCCCAGAATGGGTGGAGGGAGAGCATCTGGTCATCTCTCCAGGTCACAGGCTCTCAGAGTGGGATGACTAACCATTGCAGGGCTGCTGCCCCCCACATAGTCCAACCACACATTCCACAAGCAGGTCAGATCTGCAAAATTATTCAGTCAGGAAGTTCAAACCACCACTGTAATAGGCTCCTTGGCGGGACCCATGTATGAATGGGGGGCAGGGAGGAAGAGAGACTGGAAGTGGGTTACCAAATAAAATGTAGGATGCCTAGTTAAATTTGAATTTCAGATAGACAGTGAATAGATTTTAGCATATGTATGCAGTATTTGAGGTAGGCAGAATCCGTCTTTTGCATCACCATCCTAGAAAATCTCTGTTACCCCTTCCCAGACACCCCTGCTTATGTCTTCCTTCCCAACTCCCCCACTTCCTCCTGTCTCCAGTTCTCCCACTCCATCTGACTTCATGTTCTGGCCTCTCCCAGCACCTCCCCTGGCCAGCACACAATCACATCATGTGTCCTACACCCGTGGGCATTGACCTCTGCTAAATAAATGAGCTTCCCTTCAGACTCGCTGTGTGACCTTGGCTCAGAAGCCTCAGCTCCTTAGGCTTATTACCTCTGCTGTAGCACGGAGGGGTTGTGTCAAAGCGTAGGAGGTCAAACAGAACTTTGAGGGACAAGCAGGGGATGAGTCACCTTGCCCTATATCCCTGACTTTACTAGGGGAGCCCCTCCACTTTCTCTGTTCAAGACCCTGGGGTTCTCTTTAAGATCTCCTTAGAAGAAGAGATTCTGCTACTAAAATCCACTGGACTAAATAGCCCTGAGGTCCCTTCCTGCTCTAACACTGAGATTCAACATTCCAGCCTGTACTGAGGGGCTGATGGGCCCCAATGGGCTAAGGAGCTCTTTCCTCCAGGTGTCACAGTGGCATTCCATCAGAGGCCTGCTGCAGGAAGTGCTGTATTGTGCAGGTTTTCCAATCTGTGCCCCAGAGCCTGGGTTTCATGAGAGGGGGACCCTCAGGGGTCCCACAAATACTTTATTCAATTCTTATGAATGAGGAAAACAATCCAAGACTGCAACCTTCATTTTTAAAAGGCTAAAAGCATCTAGATACCCCATTTGTCTCAGTGGATAGTTTACAATAACAAATGTTATAAATGTGAGCTTTAGCTTACATATATACTAATAAAATTCTGCTTTTGTTTGTTTTAGATATTGGGGTTCTATGTAAGAGATTATTTGAGGAAAAGGTTGTCCTGCTAAAAATAATTTTCAGAAACACTGGTCTGATTAATTTGAGGGAATTTCAGCTACCATAGATGGGAAGCTATTTGAAGAGGAAGAAAGAGAAATGAATACGCATTTAGTGTCTTCTTTGGGTCAAGTACTAGGCTAGATCTTTCACATGTATTAGTTCTTTAATCCTCAGAGTAATTCTGAGATAGGTATTTTTATGCCCATTTTACAGATGAGGAAACAGAAGCACAGAGAGGTTAGGTGACTGCCTTAGGGTTACACAGTCAATAAGTGACAGAGCCAGGATTCAAACTCACCTATGACTCACCCCAGATATGGTAAGATACCATGATATGGCAAGAAAACAAGATGGGTTTTCTTTCATTGTTCAAAAACTGATTCAGAAGCCAATCCCACTAAAGGATCTTTCATATGTCTTGTCCAGCTTTTCTGGAAAAGTACACTGAGTGACCATCTTGAAGAACACTTAATGAATGTGGACATTCTGCTATGTTTAATTTTTTTAAAAGTCTCATACCTCAAATTTTAGGGCAAATCACACAGTTCTCTGAGTTTGGCCAACCTCCAAGTTGTCTGGGATGGGATGTGGAAGATGTATTTTTGGCATTCAAAGCATTTTCCCCCATGGCCTGAGTCATCCTGGTGGCTCCTTCCATCTGCCCCAAGATTTTTGGTCCTGGTTACACCTGGGCCCACTACGAGGTAGATGTGTGTGTGGAGGGGTGGGGGATCCATGTGGGGCACAGCAGAAGGAACCAAGAGGAGTGATTTCTTACCCAAGTTGGGGTCATATTCACTGATAAACCTCCTGGTTAGAAACTTCACGGTCAGGGCTGTAAGAAGCAGAAAGAAATTGGCTCAGTCTCTCCTGCTGTGTCTGGCTGCTGGCCCCTGGAGGCTGCCCCTTTCATTTAGGGAGGCCTTATCTAGCCTCTGTGACCCCTGGCTGACACCAAGTTCAAATCTCTGGGGGAATGAGGCTGGGAGCTGAGAGTTTATTTGAGAGGCTCAGAAGAAACCAGAAATATGGGGAACTATGTCCCTTCAGGTATATCCTGTGATTTTTTTTTTTTAATGGCAAGAAAAAGCAATGAGAGGTAAGCCTAAGGGGTGTGTCTATGAAGACTGAAACTAGGCAGTCAGGACCCACACAACCAGTTACCTTAGGGTCAGCCCCAACTGAAGGGAGGCTTCCCCATCCTGAACAAGTCATGAAGATTCTGAAATGCGGGGCATTTCTTTCAGTTTTGGCTATGAGCCAAAGAGAGATTAAGAGCCAAGTTAATCAGTGGGTGATCCCTGGCGGTGGTATGAACCCTGAGGGCCTGGAATTTCCAGATGAGATCTGTGTCCCAAGTAAACACACTCTGGTCCTCAGTCTTACACATCTCAAGTCTTGGTTCGAGGGCCTCCACACTCATCATGGTGCCACACAGAATGTAAAACTCTAGAATGAAGTTATCCCAGGTGCAATGCAGTAACAGGACTCTGATTTTGTTCAGAATTTAACCACATAAAGCCAAAGGCCAGCCAACTATTATACTGGAGTCTTAAAAAGTAATGCGATATTTTAAAGAAAATCCTTAAAATTCTTTCCCAGGATTCCCAAGTGTCAGTTTGCAAAGTAATACCCAGGGAATACATATTTTTAAATTCAAATTCCTTCATTCATGTAGTCACTGGCTAAATTGTATCAGTGATAGAGCTCGGGATAACAATTTGAGTTTCAAAGGGAGGAGGGCGAATCTTTTCTGTAGGAAAATGTGATTCAGAGTTCCCTCTCTGAGCCAGAGGGCTGGCTTCAAAAGTGGAGAGGAGGCCCCCAGAGAATCTCAAAGAACACACTGGGGAAGGAGACCCACAGCCAGCTGAGCCCATGTTGGCCATTCACTAATGGCTGTAACTGGAAAACAGCCAGTGGAGGAGCCCCTTCGACCCTCCCACCATCAGCTCCCTGAGACTGTGAGCGGCAGGGGAGGTCTGGACCCTTTTTCTAGGTCTCTGCCTATGGTGACACCCCCACTCTCACCCCCTTCGCTCCAGCTGGGTGAGAGCTGCCAGGACTGGTGAAGGCAGAGTTCAGTGTTGATAGAAATGATCTCAGTGGAAGCCCAAGATCTTGGTTGATCAAGGACAAGTCCCAGGCACCTGGGACCATAGTCCAACCTATTTCCTAAAAGTCAAGAGAGGAGCCTGGCTTGAAACAAATACATTTGATAAGAATGCACATTTTATTCCAGAATCCAAGGGAATTGAGGAAGGGAGCGGGGAGTGTAGCCTGGGAAATGCCAATGGCCAGTGACTTCTACCAACTCCCTTCAGGGGCCGGTGTCTCTTTCATCCCAAGCCTAAATCAGGGAGTAGCAAGGCTCACAGGGGCCCTGGGCTAGGGACCTAACAGGTCCCTTTGGTGACAATCACCTGAGCTGACTGCTGGACCCACCCAGAAAAGATAGAGGTGGGGGCCACAAGAGAGAGACCAACAGAGGACTGGGAGACACAGCGATAGACAGAAGGGAGAGACAGCTGGGGTCACAGACACAAGCACAGAGACACAGTAGGGAGACAGAGGGAGAGCCATTCCAGGGAGAGCCATTGCAGGAACGGAAGACAGATGAGAGATGGAGGAGCTGAGAACAAAGCAGAGAGAGCGCCAAGCAACAGAGAAACTGAAGCAAAGAAGAAAATCACGGTGTCTTGCCCAACCCACCTGGGTTCAGGAAGCCCCCAAAGCCAGTGGAAGAGCCTGCCCGCAAGTCCGCAGTCCCTGGTTCCCTCCACCCGCTCCGTCTCCCCGGTTCCCGCCTAACCCCTTCCCTTCCCCGCAGTTGCCCCACTCACCGGACTTGCCTGCCCCGCGGCGCCCCAGGATGGCCAGGTTGACCTCGAGGGGCGCGCTCTGCGGCCCGCTGCCCATGCGGGATTTCCCGAACACCGAGGACATGGTGACGCTGCGGAGAGGGACACGGTGCCTCGGCCCCAGGGCCCCGAGCAGCGTGCCCGCCCGTCGGGGCCCTCAGGAGCGAGTCTCAGGCTCCCCTGGCACTTGCCACCGGCCCCTCGGTGTCCGCGCCCCGAGCCCCGCGCTGAGCGAGCTGTGTTCCCTCTTCTCGGCTCCAGCTGGGGAAAGGAGGGGCTGGTGGAGCCCGGCGGGCGGGGCCGCCCCGAGCGCCGCCAAACTCCTTGTAAGGGCTGCGGGAGCCCCCCGCGGGGCTCACTCACTCCGCTCCGACGCAAGGGATAGTGCTCAGCCAGCCGCGCACCCCACCATGCTTGGCCTCGAGAGCCGGGGCGCTGTCAATGTCCGGACCACCCCCAGACCCGGCAGGAAAGGACAAGGACAGGAGAGAGGGAGGCCCAGGGTAGTGAGATAGAGAGGAAAGACGTTTCCAGCCTTGTCTGAACCTCCACTCAGTCTCTTCCCACCAGCAAGAAAATCCATTCCTCCCTTTGTTTTTCCCAACTGGCCCCACCTCCTCCTCCGGGAAGCCTGCTAGTTTCAAGTCCAAGCCTTGACCTTTCTCTAGGTCATAGCCAGCTCAGCCTTCAAATACAACTTACCCTGCCCTTCTGTGTGGGGGGACTCTCCGGCAATGCTGCAGCGCAGCACCCAGACAGAATTCAGTATCCTAACAGGGATGATGAGAACTTCTTACTAATATTCCATGGCCAATATGTGTCCAGCTTCAAGAAACCTAACCCATCCTGGATTACTGTTTGCTCCTTGATAAGAGCTAATGAGTTGCATGTGTTTGTGGCCTAGTGTGGAAAATCTGGCACTCCCTCTTGCCTGTAATGATTGGTGGGATTGGTGGATGAGCCTGACAGGGTTACCTGTCATTCCCCTTGGTTCCTAGGGTAAATCTTCACTCTGGAGACAGGGCAAAGGGCCACCATGGGGAATTTGGACACAGGATGTAGTGCCAGCTCCTTTACTGGGTGACCTTGGGTAAGTCCCCTCACTTCTTTAGGCTTTTTTTTGTCCCTTTCTATAATACTAAGAAAGGGGAAAATAAATCCAAAATTCCATGATGTGATTCAGGCCTAAAAGTGACAGAATCAGCCCTGGGCCTTCAGGCCTGAGTACTTTCCAGAACCTTATGAGGCCTCTCATTTGGAATACACTACAGGCTAGAGTGAGGAAGGGCATGGAGTCTCAGAGACCTCTCACTGCAGCCCTTTTCCTTCCAACCCCAACCTCCCTCCCACCCCACCCCAGCTACTCTACCTACTACCTATACACAAGAGAAACCATGGAAACCCAGGTCAGCAGGCAGAGGGCAGGAGATCAGAGCCTGATGGTAATAACGACTCCTCAACTAAAAAGGAAATTTATTTTCCAGGACAGGACATGACGATTGACTCAGCCTAATTGTGTGTTCTGGGAGATCATGGTAAACCAGCTATGTTATTAAGACTCTAAGGTGTTGGGAAGAATTTGTTTAGAATACATCCTCAGGCCAGAATGGCTCACAGAACTAATGGTCAATGGCCTACAACTTCCTTTGAGTTGTAGGAGAGAAAGTGGGAGCCAAGTTCCAGCCACATCCCTGGCTGGCCCCAGTTCTTTGAGGACAGACTTGTTCTGGATGGGGTCTGTGGAGAAACTAGTCTCACTGGAGGGAGGGCTGCTGGAGAGAGGGCAAACTGTGGATCCCCACAGACCCAACCAGGTATAAACTTGGGTTCTGCTACTTAATCTGTTTGTGTGATGCTGGAGGAGTTATTTTCCTTACCTTTAAAACTCTTACCAACCAGTACATGGAAGCTGCAAGGAGGCAGGTTCTAGCTCAGGGACTGTCTTTGAAGTAGGGAAGTCCCCTCCCTCCCAACACTGAAGGCAACCAAGGGGTGACCTCTTCAAGGAGGTGTCGTAGAGAAGACTCTATCATGAGTTATGGGATGGGATGAGATGACCCTTAATTCCCTTCCAGTTCAGAGATTATTCAAACTGGTTGCCAGCTGGTTTACTGAGGCCCTCAGCTGTGACTGCTCAGTGTTCAAAGTCTGCCCTTCCTCTGAGGCTTGGGAGGAACAGTGCCGACCTCATAACTGCAACCAGTCCCTTTCCCCATCCTCAGTCTCTTGATCTGTGGGCTGCTTGTCCAGCACCCAAATTACCAGTTGTGGACTTCAAAGGCCTTTGGAATCTATCACCTACTGTCAGACCCTGGAATAAGTTACTTTGTCCTTCTGGGCCTCAGTTCCTCATCTTTAATTTATTTTATTTTTATTTTACTTATTTTTCTTTTTTTTTTTTTAGGTGAGGCAACACTTGGTTGACTTCACTGATTACAAAGACCTTGTCAGCTTACAATCCCTTATTTTTTTATTTTTTATGCTTACAGCACCTGGTCTTCCTAGGTGGTCTCCCATCCAAGTACTAAGTACGTACTGACTAGGCCTGACCCTCCTTAGCTTCCGAGATCAGACAGGGTTGGGCTTGTTCAGGGTAGCATGGCCCTAGACTCAGTTCCTCACCTTTAAAATAGGGATAATATTAAGGATTAAATGAGGTAATGAGAAAGTGTCCCATCCAGAGCTTGGCCCATGCTCCAAAAAAGCAGCAGCTAGTTCCCTCCACTTCCCCTGGACATGAATAGCACACAATTCTCACCTATCAAGAAGCCACAAGTGTTTAGTGACCAGAAGTTTAGACACTTCAGGTCAAGAGAGAGGTTATTCTGCTAGAGTAAGTAGCTCAACCCTCCTTACTACCACCACCCCTCTTCAAGGCTCTTACAGAAGGCCTTTGAGTACTCAAAATGCAGAGGATGCTGCACCAGCCTATCAGTGGATATGCAGCAGGTGCTCAATAGATACCTCTGGAGTGGATGAGCGGGGAATGTACAGGTCTAGACAGGTAGCACCTATGAGAATTTCTGGATGCCAAGTCCTACCCCTGCCACGAACCATTCAGGAACTATTTCACATAAAGCTAAGCTTTTGAGACCCTGTTGTGATGTCACTGTATTCTCTGGGGTACAATATGACAACCACTTCTGTGTGGTTGTTCAATGATAAAATCAGCTGTCAAAGCTGAACAGAACCTTAGAAGTCAGATCCAACCTCCATTTTACAGATGAAATGAGGTCTAGAGAGGTTGGGTAGCTTTTACAAGTCAGTGGTAGTCCCAGCATCACCTGACTTCTAGTCCAGTGTTCTTCCTTCTTCAGGTCGAGACAAGCTCCTCACTACCCTGTGTGCAGAAATACCACCATGGGTGGCAAAGGCCAGCAGTTCCCCATCAGGCTTATGGGTGGAGGTCTCCCAGGGCAAGGGCTATGTCTCCTCCATCAGACTGGGGACTCCTACTTAAGTTAGGGCCCAGGAGTCCACTTAACAGATCTCTTGCAGAGGGCCAATAATTGTGGATAGAGACAAAAGAGGCTGGGTGTGTGCTCTAGAGAAGCTCAGGGAGTCTCACACATAACCCTTTTCCTTGGCCCCACCTCCAACCTTGCACAGTGTGGGGTGTGCAAAGTGGAGAAGGAGGTTGGTGTGGGGTCGGGCAGGGCCTGGGAACTCCGTGGGCTGCCCACAGCCAGGATAGTTCCTTGTCCTCTCCAAGTCCCAGAGGGACGCTCACTGTCTGGAAGGAGGAAACTCACCAGCTGCAGACAATATCCCACTGGGTCCTTGGGATGCAGCCAAAGGCCTGGTCCTGAGCCCAGCCTCAGAACTACTACCCCCACCGTGGGTGACCCTCTCCCCATTGCCTGACTGCTGAAGGTGGGAGCTGGGTGTGTGCACCAGTGTCCCAACCCACTTAGGCCAGGGCTGGACTTGGGAAAAACTGGAACTGGGAGCAAGGTTCAGCCAAGGGGGACTTGCTCTCTTTTCCACTCCTGCTTTCATGAGAAGTTCAGGCAGTGACTCCATCTGGTTGAGTTTGCCAGTTACTAGGTGCCTGAAACAGGCCATTTGGGAGGCCCTGAGGATCAGCCCCTCCCTAGCTCCACCCCTTAGCTTGAGCCTGGATATAGCTGTTTCTCTCCCTGAGACAAGGCTAGTGCAGGTGAGAAGAGGAAGCTGGACTGGGACCTGGGTCGGTGGACAGAGTTCAATCCAGTCCCACATCTTCTTTCATAATTAAGGAAAAACTCATGCCAACTTTAGTCCTTCCTTTCCTCACCTGTGAAATGGAGATAGCTAGACACCTTCTTCCTATTCCTGAGTCCACAAGCAAGGACAGTTAGGACTAGGCACTATAGAGCCTATCTTCTTCCAAGAAAAAGACTGTCAGCCTGTTCTCTCTCAGCCAATGTCTGGTCTCACGGAAGGAGAGAAGCTGGCAGAGGGCCTGGGATAGTATTAATGGGGACTCTTACCCAACCCCTCCATCTACTCCTCCTCTTCCTGTCTGGTCCCTGGGGCAGAGCATCCAGGATATTTCTGGCTGCCTCCTCCAGGCCTTTGGCTTCCCAGGCTCACACAAGTGGTCTCCACATCCTGGCTCTGCTTTGATGAAGTAAACTGGGTGGGAGTTCCCTAGCAGGGGAGGTACATTTGTGTTAGGTCTGCAGATCATATGAGAGGGTCTATGCAGGCTTGGGTCCTAGAGGGGAGGGAAGTTCCCCTGCCCGCTTCCCAACTCTGGCTTTGTCATTGTGAACCTCTCCATCCTCCTGAAGAAGTCCTGCAGTTGAACATCTCTGGAATGTCAGACACCATCCTATACAGGTCTGGGCCTCAGTTTCTCCACCTGTAGAATGAGGTAGCAGGAGAAGATAATCACTAAGCTCCCTTCCATCTGACATTTTGGTCAGGAACGTTCTGTGCAGTAGGAAAAGTGCCCTGGGGTTGGGCAGCAGGAGGCCTGGGGCGGTCTGCCCCAAACTAAATGACCTTGGGCAATTCCCTTTCTGATCTTCTATTGTAAATGAAGGAGTTGAACCACATGAGCCTTAAGTTCCTTTCAACTGTGATCTCCTGGCACAAGGTAATTGCCTAGCATTTGTAGCAGAGAGTCAGCAGGCACAGTGGTTAGGGACACATGCTCTAATGTCAGACTGGCTGTATGCCAGTCCTAACTCTGCCACTTTCAGGCCATGAGACCTTGGGCCATGTGACCTTGGGTGTATGACTGACTAAACCTCCTGATGCTTCAGTCTCTTGATCTCTGAAATGGGACCATTAATAACATCTAACTCATATAGTGTTGCTATAGCAATAAATGAATAATATCATTAAAACGAGGGAAAATAATAGTATTTACTCATGAGATTGTTGCAAGGATTATAGTAATTAATGTGCTTACAAAAGTATCTGATGCACAGTGCAATTTAAGTATTAAGTGTTATTATTTCAAGAAGCGCTTCTCCTTTCCGCCCACAGATATATGATCAGCAGCACCACTTTCCTTTTCCTAAAGTTTGGAGACACAGCCATGGAGAAGTCTTGGCAAATGAGGAATAGACATCAGCTTCCCATTTCCATTCCAAGTCAGGACATACTTCCACGTTCAAGGTCTTATCAGATGCTTACCTGCTACCCTCCCATTTTTTACAAAGAAGGAAATCCAGGCTCAAAAAGAGATTGGACTAGTCCAGGGTCAGGGACAGAAGCCCTGGCCAAGTTAGAACTCTGTTCTGGGCCCCGGCCTGGCTCACTCTATTTGCCCCACCTCTGACTTCCCATTCCAGTACCCAAGAATCCCCTCACCCCACCAGCTGATAGGGTGGGCTGAGTATTAATCTTGTCCTTGCTTCTTCCCAGTTGAATAACCCTGGACAAATCATGTGAATTCTCTGAGCCTCATTTTGAACACTTTACAGACACTGTCCCAATACAGGTTTCCCCTATTATCCGTAAGTAGAGCGTCTATAAGAAACCTTTTGTAAACCAAAGCAGCAATCACCTTAAGACGCATCTTGCTAATGGATGCAGAAAATAAACCAAGATAAAGCACGGATGCTCACAGACCCAGTTCAGAGCTATAGGGGCTTGATGTTGAGAGGCTGAGTGTAGTTCCTGGGGAAGGAGCTTGGAGGGACCACTCTTGCTGCTGCTCAGGATGCATACTGCATCTACAATGACTGGCTGCAAAACAAACGCTGACCAATATTTTCTCTTTTCTCTTAAAAGTACAAGGGCATACAGCTGGTTTAGGGCAGGTTAACTGAGTTGTCTTTGTAAGCATCTCTCACAGTGCCCGACATACACAGTAGGTGCTCAGTATATGGTCACTATTACCATTTCCCATACAAGAGTGAGTGATCCCTTAGGTCTCCGGATGGCTTCTGGCCCGCGGCCATCCAACCTGCTAGCCACCACATCACATGAGCCATACTATCTTTAGCCAGGGAGATATTTATATCGCCCTGGAAGTTTTTTCCGCTGAGCCCTAGAGTAGGTGGCCGCTGAAAGCAAGCCTCCACTGGTGGCCTCTGCCCCTCCGACTCGTCATGCCACGGGGCCCCGAGGCCCCGGTGCTGGTGTGGGTGGACGGCCAGCTCTTCCAGGCCGACCAGACCCTGCTGGTGGAGCACTGTGGCTTCTTCCGCGGCCTCTTCCGCTCCGGCATGCGGGAGACGCGCGCGGCCGAGGTGCGCCTGCGAGCGCTGAGCGCGGGCGGCTTCCGCACCACGCTGCAGGTGCTTCGCGGCGAGCGGCCGGCGCTGTCGGCCGCCGAGGAGCTGCTGCAGGCCGTGGAGTGCGCCGCCTTCCTGCAGGCGCCGGCGCTGGCGCGCTTCCTGGAGCACAGCCTCACGTCTGACAACTGCGCGTTGCTGTGCGACGCGGCCGCCGCCTTCGGCCTGCGCGACGTGTTCCACAGCGCGGCTCTCTTCATCTGCGACGGCGCGCGCGAACTGGCGGCTGAGCTGGTGCTGCCCGAGGCCCAAGCCTATGTGGCGGCGCTGCGGCCCAGCAGCTATGTGGCCGTGAGCACGCACACGCCCGCTCCCGGCTTCCTGGAGGACGAGTCACGGACGGTGTGCTACCTGGACGAGGAGGAGGACGCGTGGCGCACGCTGGCCGCGCTGCCCCTGGAAGCCAGCACGCTGCTGGCAGGCGTGGCCACGCTGGGCAACAAGCTCTACATCGTGGGGGGCGTGCGGGGCGCCAGCAAGGAGGTGGTGGAACTCGGCTTCTGCTACGACCCCGAAGGCGGAACGTGGTGCGAGTTCGCCAGCCCGCACCAGCCACGCTACGACACGGCGCTGGCCGGCTTTGACGGCCACCTCTACGCCATCGGCGGCGAGTTCCAGAGGATGCCCATGAGCTCCGTGGAGCGCTACGACCCGGCCACGGGCTGCTGGAGCTTCGTGGCCGACCTGCCACAGCCGGCTGCCGGCGTGCCTTGCGCCCAGGCGTGTGGTCGCCTTTTTGTGTGTCTGTGGCGGCCGGCCGACACCACGGCCGTGGTGGAGTACACGGTGCGGGACGACATGTGGCTACCGGTGGCCGAGCTGCGGCGCCCGCAGAGCTATGGCCACTGCATGGTGGCCCACCGTGACAGTCTCTATGTGATACGCAATGGACCCTCTGACGACTTCCTACACTGTGCCATCGACTGCCTCAACCTGGCCACGGGCCAGTGGACGGCACTGCCTGGCCAGTTTGTCAACAGCAAAGGAGCGCTCTTCACGGCGGTGGTGCGCGGTGACACTGTCTATACCGTCAACCGCATGTTCACACTGCTCTATGCCATCGAGGGCAGCACCTGGCGACTACTCAGGGAGAAGGCCGGCTTCCCACGACCCGGCTCCTTGCAGACTTTTCTCCTGAGGCTGCCTCCTGGTGCCCCGAGGCCTGTGGCCTCAACGACGCCTGAACTGTGACCTCTAGGCTGGGCTTTAGGAGGGGACACCCTGAGTCTTCCCTGAGCTATGGCTGGATCTATGAAGCTGGCCTTAGGAGTGGCGGGAGCTTCTCTCTCCCTGGATGAGACTTCTGGATTTCATGTCTTCTGGTGGTGTGACCAGGTCCAAAAAACTCAGGGAGCAATGATGATACTGGAGTCTAAGCCCTCAAATTACTTGGGCTCTGCTGAAAGCCGGTGGGTCACAATGTCAGTCAGTGGAAGGGATAAGGGGATAGGATTTCAGTAATCTAGGCTTGTGTGTGAATGGGCCAATAATTGAGCATGGCTGGGAGTGGGTTAAGTGATATTAATCAAACTGCCAATCAGTAGGCAAGAATTAGGCACCTACTGGGTGCCCAGCACAGCGCTAGCCCTAATGTGGTCTGTAGTTGCCAAACAGGTCCACAAAGCTTAGCATCTAGCCCAGAAAAACTCTTAACAGAACAGTTATAGGACAACAGAAAGTTTATATGTGTCTTGATCCATGCAAAAAATAAAACTACTGAAGAAATCAGGGCAAAAGGAAAAGTAGGGAGAGGAAAAATACATAACTCCAGGAAGGAGAGTGTACTAACTATATGAAGAAGACATGCAGGATAATTAGCTGCTGAAAGGGGAGGTTCACATGGCAGAAAGCGAGCTTAGAAGAGAAGTTGGGAAGGATGAAGCAGATGGAAACAGTCTCTGTGAACCCAGCCTTTAAAGCAGAACAGCTGTGGATGGAGGCATTTGGGGAGGGGGCAAGGCTGGGTGGGCTTGAAGAGACAACAACTGAGCTGAAACTGGAGTGAGATTTGTGAGGGAGAAAGGGTTCCCACACTCTCTTATGGGATATGGACCTGCAGTGGGGAACCCAGTTGTAAGCTCCTTGCCTATTTTTTTTTTTTTTTTTGCCATTGCCCCAGGGGAAGTGGACTATTAACTTCCATGACTTTAGGTCATTCAAGGGTATGAGCCAATCCTGGGCAGGTCTAACTGCCTCATCTTATCTTTCTCCCACATTCTATAGGTTAATTCTTTTCTAGCCTCTGTTCCTGCTATTCCCCGAGCCTGGAATGCCTTTCCTCTTCCTCTCTTTCTTTTGGCTCTGTACCCATTTCCTCTGTGCAGGATTGGCTGTTTTTGACCTTGGCTGTCTGCATTGCTTATTGGACCTCTGACTGACCTCATTCTGTGTGTGTCTGTGTGTAGCCATGCACATATGCAGATAGCAAGTGCAGAGATCTTATGCTGTTAACTGAGTTGAGGCACTTTCCCTCTTCTAGAATAATATGATGAGGTCCTGAAAGAACCCAGGCTATAGAGGCCACTAGTTAGAGACCTGGTGTCAGATGAAGACTCTTGTCCCTCCTAGTTCCTGGTCAGGCACCCACCCCAGCTCTCCAGTCTTTCCATTCCCTTAGGCAGACTTCTCTGAGTGGTCCTGAATGGTCTCCATCCTCTAGGATCTGAGGCCCATGGGAAATCCTGGCCTCATCACAGCTGGAGAGTGCAGCATCAGCAGCATCAGCATGGCACCTCCCGGACATGGAGGCTAGTGTGAGGGCTGCCCTAGCTGCCTTTTCCCCTGACCTATGTCCCAAGCCTTGGAGAGCACTGCCTCCAGAAGCCCGGGACCTTATAGCTCTGAAATAGCCTAATCTGATGAGTCCTAACAATAAATCCTGACTTTTGCATCCTGTGAGTGATGTGCAAAGTACTTCCTGTCTGTCTTCCCACTGCAGCCCTACCTCAGCCCTGGGAGTTGGGTACCTTCTCCCTGTGGCAGATGAGATATGCAAGGCTCAGAGGCTGAGTGACTGGCCTAAAACCACAGGCCCATTCCAAAGTATGGCAAAGTCCTCATTTTTCGGTTCTGTTAAAGTATAATTTTTATCACATGTCGGAGAATTATTTAACTCATTAATAAGGGAAGCAGAAGAATAGTAAAGCTGGTTCATCAAAGGAGCATTTGAGAGACTGATATTTGTATATTTCATGGCAAAAGACATATTGAAGTAAGTTTGCAAAGGTAAGAAATGAAGATGGTTAATGTCTTACAGGGCAATAAAACCAGATTTTTGTGGTTCTCTACTAAACTAAAATCTTTTGCACCAATTACATGCGCATACATACTTATACAGGACCCTAATCAGTAGTAAACTGTAGAACAAAGGTACATTTCTCTAGAGAATTATATAACTCTCAGGTGTTCAGTTCTTCCCCAGAAAGACATTGACAGGATACACAGTCCTCCTTTTGCCTATGTAACAGTACAGAATGCTCTCCTCCTTGCTCACTCCAGTGCTGACCACCCAGAGATTTGCAATCTCAAGATCTATCAGCTCATTTGCTCTCTCAATCCACAGAGCTTCGTGTTTGTCAGCTTTTGCAGCTGGCTGCGTGGACCAGCCCAAATGGGGCCTGTTAGCTCCTGAGGTTTGGTCATTCCTTGATCCAGAGCAGCCTTTTCTGATATGATATGTCTTTGGTGCATAATAATAACACAGTGTTCACAGATAACTTTCCCACAGTTGACTTATTTAAGTTTTGTAAGAATTTTAAGTGGTAAGCAGCTCAGCAACACTCCCACTCGCTTCTTAAAAACAAAACAAAACAAAACAAAAAACCAAACAAACGTAAAACCCAAAACACCCAAAGGTTATGAGATTGGAAGAGGCACAACTAGGAAGTAGCAGAGCCTGGCTTTGAACCCAGGGCCACGTGCTGTTGCTGCCTTTCTGCTTGGCTGACATTCTGAGATAGGGTATTTTTGCCTCATCTCCTTAACACTCCCCTCTGCTACCCTTCTCTCTGCATCTCTTCTTGGGGTTCATCACTTCACAGCACCCAGCCCTTTCCCTCTTCTTCCAACAGGAAAATTCACTGTCTTTGGTTCTCTTGTCTTAGGATCTAGCTGGGTGACTGACAAATAGCGCACTTCACAAGGGTGTTAATGAATGGTTAAGGCCCTGGGGGGTGTTTACACTTTCACAGTTACTCTTTTCCTCTCATGAAGTATGGGGGAAGTTTTCATAATCCAGCCCACTTTCTCCTCTAGCCTCACAGGTCAGGCTCCATTTTCTCCCACAACACGCCACACTTGGCAGGAATGGTTACCACGCCTGGTTTGCAGGTAAAGAAATGTCTCTGTCTTAGTCCAGAGGCCCACTCTGAGAAGTCTGTCTTTCCAGAGAAATACATACACAGAGAGAGAGAGAGAGAGAGTGAGAGAGCGAGAGAGCGAGAGAGCGAGAGAGAGCGAGCACGCGAGAGAGCGCGAGCACTTAACACAGCAAGGCACATTTTCCTGAACCTCTAAGACAGCCCTGCAGCCCAACTCTCTGGAGCTCTATCCAGTAGTCCACAAACTGTCTCCTTGATCCTGATTCTGGATGTCCTGCTTGCCCCTCCCTGGAAATTATCCTGTTCTGCTTATCTAGCCTGGCCGACAGAGGCAGGAGAAGCCTGACCTTCTCACACTTCACCCAGGGCCTGCTTCCCAGCTTGCCTCCCTTCGATCTGCTCATGTGGCAGCTAAAGCCAGCTGAATGAAATGCCAGCCAGACCTTGTTGCTCCTCCGCTCAGACACTTGGGTGGCTCATCTTGCTTGAGTGAAGGCCAAAGTCCTTTCAGGATCCCCTGCCTCGTTTCCTTTCTAACTTCTTCCCTCATCACTCACCTGAGCCTCATTGAAATTCAGACACACAGGGCACACTCCCACCTCAGGGCTTTTGCACGATGTCCCTCTGCCGAGCACACCTCCCTCACTTGGTCACCTGGCTCAGTCCCCACATCTTACAGGCATTTGCTCAGATGTCACTTTCATTCTGAGGCCCTCCCTGACTATCCTACTTAAAACCTACCCCTCCCTTCTCTGTATTCTCTCATTCTTTTTCTTGCTTCACTTTCCTCCATAGCATCTAGCATCATCTCTCATGCTATATTTTTACTCGTTTACTGTTTCTTCCTCCTACTAAAACTGAACTCTTTGAGAGCACAGGTTTCTGTTTGTTCACTGTTGTATCAGCCAGAACCCAGAACAATGACTAGAACATATTAGGGGCTCAATAAATATTGAATGAATGAACGAATGAATGGTGCTCAATGGATGTTGGAAGAATGAATGAACTAATGGATCAATCAAAGGAAAAACCCATAGAGAGAGGCTGTTGGATTTCAGAGGAGAGAGTATCATTTCTGCAGGGAGTGTGAGTGGCCAGGTGATTGGGCCTTCACGAGAAGGTGATGAGCTGTCAGGTCCCTAAGCTCTGGAAAGCGTCGGCAGCAGCTCATAGGTTACTTCTCTGCCTTCAGTGGAGGGGAGGAGACTGGAATTGGAAGTGCTAATCACTCTGTGAAGAATTGCTCCTCTTGGCCATGGAATACACACAGGGCTGGTCTGTTTATTTTCCTTTGGCCCCAAGCAGCTGGGCCTCTTTTTCATCCTAATTGCTTTGCTTCAAGTTGCTGTCACTTCCCAGGAACAGCAGCAAATTAACTGTGCTGGTGGGAGACACAGCTGTGGGCAGACAAGCCACCTCAGAGCATGCAGGTCAATGGGCACGAGATATGGGACCCTGACGGAGCGGGTATCCCAGGACTCATCCCAGCAGTGTCCTCTGCAGCCCTCATGGTTATGCCCTAGCTGGAGTGGGGAAGCACAAACAGAGGGAGCCCCTCTCTCCTGGGTCTCAGCAGCTAACAAAAAGGGGGCCTTTTGTAAAGCGGCAGGGTCTTGGAGCAGGGTGTAAGCATCTCATCCAACTCCTCTCTTTTTACAGGGAGGAAAGGGAAGTCAAAGTGGGGCAAGTAACTCACCTGGAGATACACAGCAATGCAGCAGACCACCCCAAGCTCAAACGCATGGTTCTAGAATCCTCTTCTCACCACACCATGCTGCACCTCTTGTGCTACCTTCCAGGATACCTATGAGGGAGGTTTCTCAAAGTGACCCATCAGGCCTGCCCTCCTAATTCCAGACCTCCATCCTTATT